TAGTTTGAAGAATCACTTATTCATAATTGATCAGAATATATTTTTTGTGTTTCAACTATTAAGCACTTTGTGTCCTCTGCTGGTTTCTATGAGGAACTATCCAAGCCCAGCAGAAGAACAATAGCTGCCCTCTAATTAAATATCGTTCGTTCTGTTCGGGTCCAAATTCGGGATAATTTCGGGATTACCGCATTAGGAAAACGGTAAATGAAGTGTCAAACTCGTAATTTAAAGCCGACAGGAACGAGGCATCGGAGCAGCAAATCTGGGCATTACGTTTGGCCTAAATCAGGTGAGATAATCATCCTCCTGTTTGTTCTATTGTGTTTTATTTGAGGTGCTTCTGCTGGGGAAATCGCGCTCTCTATGGGGATTTGAAAGGATTTTAGGGCCAATGGTGACATATTGAAAGGGGGCAACATGTAAGCCTTTGAGAATAAATCACCCCCTTTTGAGAAAAATACTAGAAATCGAGAGAGTTGGTTAAAAACCCGCTACTTCTCGTTTAATTACATTTCGTTCCATTGTGGATTGAATTTCATGGAAATGTGGCGATAAGGGCCATTTTTCAAATGATTGGAAAACGTGTCAATTTTCTATACCGGCAAAGCCCTTGAGCGTTTCTTTGCCATCATTAAAATGGCAAAATATATGGTCGGCTTTATTCACAACTCGACATCATTAAGCGACAAAAGACTGACGTTCTGAAATATAATTTTCCAGCGTTCCGGCAGTTCCGGAACGTCGGTTTTCTCGATCCCGCGCCCGGATCCGTGCATTAAAAGCGTTTTTGCGCTCCAAAACTGAAAAACCGGCAAATTAATTAACTCATTTTTCAACCGGACGAAAGGTTTAATTAATTGCCCAACTTGCTGTGCAGTAATTGCAATTCGGGATTTATTGGCAAATTTACAATGACGATCTTTTAGTTTTTTTGTGCACTGCAACGAAGCCGATCTTTGTTCCTGATTGTTCTGTGTGTTCATATGAGGACTAATTTGCAAACGTTTTGACCATGCGTCTGGGTTTAGTAAATATTTTTTGGTTTTTTACTGGTTTAATGATTAGAACGCGTTAGGAGCTTCAAAAGCTCAACTTGACCTCGTGTATATCGCACATTTGCGTGATGTTTGCGGATTGTTTGGCAATCTGGGAATTTCATTTCGTCAAACTCCCTTTATCTGCATAATTTAATTATTGACTTTTATCCGGTCAGTAAGGTGTTATAAATGTTGAATATCTTGGGCTTAAAGGACTGATAATTCGCTTTAACTTTAATGGCTTTAATATTCAAGAAGAGAAAACATCCTTCCTGCATACAAGAGAAATGATTGCTAATTTCAACAATAAACAGCATTTTTTTTAAAGCAAGTAATTTTTGAGTAAATATATACGAAAATACGCATAAAAACGTCACGACTTTAGTATTCCATTCATTGATATTTGCTGCGTGCTTGGTTTTACGACGAAACTAAAAGCCGATTTTGCTCCGCAATTTTTCTTTATTACAACTGTGCCCTTAACCTATTTTTTGTCGCTCGAGTCTATAAAAAGGAAGGCTGGGTTTAGGGTGTATTTCGCCCTAATATCCCCAAGGAACTGGGTGGTTACACTCGGATATAATTACACTTGTGAGCAATAAAAGCGGAATGTGTTAGGGCGTGCGATTTCCTGTACGCTTTTCATTTAGCAATGTTTTATAAGATTTGCGCAATTTTGTACTGTATATGAATTGTATATAATTTCCTGACTGTGTTTCAATTTCAAATCAAATTCATTCCTGGGTTTCAGTCATTGATTGTCTTTATTTATCAATCAAAATACGTTTCAGTGTATTTTTCCACCATCATCAGTTTTTATGTGTAGCGTTGTTGCTGCTTTAAGCCTTGGCATGCATTTTTTGGCACGCAAAAATGCATGCCAAG